CACTGATGAAGGTGGCGGTGAGGCCTCTCGTCGCTTCGCTCCCCTCGCGAAGGACCCCGGACTCCAGGGCGGCGGCCCAGGACGGCGAGGCGGCGCTGCCTCCGCGACAGGCGGCGCGCGCAGGATGTGGTGGCCGGTCTCCTTGGCTGCTCGGGCAGCGCGGAGCCGGCGGGTGGTGGTCGTGGCGCGGTCTTCTTCCGCTCCAGATCTGAAGGTCGGGTTCTCCTCCTCCGCTCACTCCTCCCCTCCGGCTGTGTCTGCCCGGCAGCTTTGGCTGCCAGGCCCGGTGCTGATTGGGTGCTGGTGGCATAGATCGAGTCCGGGGGAAACCCTTGGCCGGTTCTCCGACCATGGCGGTGACGCCGTGTGCATCGCCTTTCTCCTTCGAGGCGCCGCTGAGGATTCCTCTATCCATCCCCGTCCCAGATCCCGGGTGAAAGCCCAAACCCATCTCGGGTTGGGCGGCGGCGGCGCCCTGCGCACCGTTCCCTCCTTGGAGGCGCCGCCTTGGGGTATTTGGTTCTCTGGGAGAGTGGCGTCGAGGTAGGAGAGTGTCCGGTGGCAGCGAGCCCAAGCAGCGGCTTGCCGCCCCGGGTCTTTGCAGCTTGCTTCTTCGACCACCCCCAGTGGCTTTCCCTCTGTTCTCGGGTGGCCAAGGAAGATGGTAGTGCAGCTTGTGGGTGTGCCTACGACTCGGTGAGGACAGCGAGCTATGCCTACTCTGGGTTTCGGTCGGCGCCTGATCTAGCTCTGTGGTGAGCGCCCATCGATCCGAGGGTCCGGTGCCTTCGAGCCTAGGCGAGAGGAAAGGGTTCTTCTTTGGTGTTGGAAGACAGGTGTTCGTGATCCCAATCCCTTGATACGGTTGCTCTCAGTGCTTGCGAGCCAAAGTCTGATCCTCGAGGCTACTCTGCTCCATGTTCTTGGTGCCGATGTGCAGCGGGCTCCCACATTACTTGCAGGTTTTCATGGATCTTCTTTGTGTGCAGTAGTGTGCGTTGTGTTATAAGCTGCTTATCAGCTCCCTTGTATCTTTCGGTCGCTCTTGCTTGGTGGCCTTAGTTAAACGTGATGACGGGAACGGTGCTTGAGTCCACACCGGTTGCATGTTAATATAGATGGCTTGGAAGCCGAGTTGGCTTGGAAGCCAAGTTGTACAAGGTGCAGGTATCCGTATACAATACTATATGGTATACAAAAACTAAAATTACATTTAACAGTCCCCCTTAATCTAAGCCTTTGAAAGGTTTATATTACGCTTAAACTCATCTAATTGCTTCACTGGAAGTGCCTTTCTAAAGCAACTTGATCTTTGCTTGAGACAAATCTGATATTCAGTAAATTTTCAGCAACTCTCTCTCTCACAAAGTGAAAATCTATCTCAATATGCTTAGTGCGAGCATGAAACACTGGATTAGCAGACAAATAGGTAGCACCTAAATTGTCACACCAAAGACATGGTTTTCCCTTCAATTTAACTCCAAGTTCACCAAGGAGAGCTTCAACCCAAATTAACTCTGTTGTAGCATCTGCTAAAGCTTTGTATTCAGCTTCAGTACTGGACCTGGATACTGTAGCTTGTTTCCTAGCACTCCAAGAGACCAAGTTTGGTCCAACAAATATAGCAAAACCACCTGTGGATCTTCTATCATCAAGAGAACCTGCCCAGTCTGCATCAGAGAAAGCACTAAGAAATATAGATGAAGATTTGACAATTGTGATTCCAACTTTCAAGGTATCCTGTATGTATCTCATAATTCGCTTCACAGCTGACCAATGTTCTGTAGTTGGAGCATGAAGGAACTGGCAGACTTTATTCACTGAATCCTCCTCGGGCTGGCCGTCGTCGAGATCAGTGCTGGCAGCAAAATAATCAGGTGCATCCACCTCAATTTCAGTGTCCGTTTCGGCATTTTCTGCTGGATTTTCACTTGCAATTTCTGAACCATTGGGAGAACCATTTGGACTGAAATTTTCTTCTGGATCCTCTTCTACCTTCTGCACATCAGTTATTGGCACAATAGGAGACACATGGTTATCAATATTAGGTGCACCCTCATGAGAAAAGGAAGTGGAAGATGGAAGAAGTAAGATTTGTTGTTTTAGGAGGGCACCGACATTGGGATGAAGGGAGGCAAAAGGAAAAACATTCTCATCAAAAACTACATCACGTGAGATATAAATTCTTCCTGTTGAAACATCAAGACATTTGACACCCTTGTGAAGAGGACTATAACCAAGAAAAACACACCGTTTTGAGCGAAAAGCAAGCTTTCGCTTGTTGTAAGGATGAAGATTTGGCCAACAGGCACAACCAAAAGTTCGAAGAGCATCATAATTTGGTTTGACATGA